TCGGTGATTTGATGAGGGGTGTTGATCTTGGGGTCGCGGTAAGTAAATTGGCGGGTCCCTGAATCCCAGTTAGCTGGTTGGAAAGATCTATCCGACGGAACGATGGAACCGGAGGACCGTGCGTGCGTCAGCCAAAAATGTTTTGTCCTGTTGACATGTGCTTGGAACCGGGCCGGGGTAAGGGAGTGGGTGGAATGTCGCGGGCTCATAGTGTTTTCGCCGTTGTCGCGGAATCAACCGTGGGCATGCATGACATACTCTAGTAAGACCGAACCTTGAGGGGGGCAATCTTCACCCTCGAGGGAAAAACATCCCCTCCCCCGGTATCTGAGACGTGGGATGTGGGTGCAAAGGTAAATCGCGCCGCTTGATACCTGGAAAGTATTGACGAGACGGTCACACGATAACCCTGTCGACGTTGGTAAGATCCATCCATGGATGCGAGGGGTCCCATGACGTCACCGCAAGGAATCCCGCAGCTCCCCACGTGCAGCTTTCGTTTTGCAATTCTCGGGCTGCAGCGCAGGCAGTTCCTGTCGCCATGATGAAGACGTTGAGCTGGTGTAGCGGTATATGCCGGTCTCAGGCCGACACCGAAAATATTGCGAGGCGGCAGCGGTCGAGCGGCTGGACGCTGCCGAAGTTCGACGAGCTCGTTCGGCGAAATGGGGATCTCTAAGGTTATTGGAGCTTCGCACCCATGAAGCAAGAGAAGTTTTCAAAGGGTTGAGGTTGGATTTGAAGGCGTTGGATAGTGTCGTGTCCAGTATGTGTTGCCATACTTCGAGAAGATCTAGGTAGGGCAAGAGCGAGGCGGGCAAGGCTGAGAAAACGTATGCGAACCCGAATCCGAAAGCTGCTATACCGAAGCTGAAGAGGAGGCTCTACTCCTACTCCTACACTCAAGTCTGTCGAACATAATTCAGGTACTTCGTAGCAGCTTCGAGCCTCGTACTATCTCTGTCTTTAAGTCCTCTCGCCAAGACTAGGCCTTCAACGTCACTTCGACGTAGGAGTTATCTGACCCAAAAAAAAAAGCAAGCAAGAGTAGGATGCAGAAGGTTTCAGAGCTCAAGCCGCAAGGACATGCAACAATGCGCATTCCCACGTCCCACTCTCGCTATCAGTCTCAACTCCCCACGAGAATTTCTATCATTTTCGCAATCTCGTACATCAACCCAGTCGCAAAACGTACAACATCACCTCACCACATCGTGATAGCCCGCCCATGTACTACCCAAAAAGGCTAGTTGCCGCCTGGAATACCAAGCATTGATCAACACCATACCTTAGATCTAAGCCAACACCGGGTATCGGCAATCTCGCAGCATACACAAAGAAGAAAAGTCGTACGTTTTACGGCTACGCACACCGGCAGAGCTGGAACGGCCCTTCCGCCGCAATCAATCCTTCTTCTTTGGGCCATGTCATCGCTCCACTTGCGCATTGATCGGTGAGGAAATTTGTTGTCGCCACGATACGAAAAGGCATAGCGGCATCCCGTACGCTGGGAGAAGGAGAATTGTTGTCTGGATGAGGCTTGGGTCAGGTAGAGGCGCAGCTGAGGCCATAGGTGGTGGGTCTTCCTTGACTACATCATGTTCCTGAATGCGACATTCGAGACGAATGCGACGTAATGGTCCCACGGGAAGGGCACAGGACTTACTTGATGTTTTCTAGCTCAGCGCTCTAGCTGCATTCGAGAAGGAATAGAAGATGCGTTAGAAGCTGCGTTAGAGGAGCCATTCGATGGAGCGGAGTCATGATGATGATGCTCCTCCCCCTCACCTGTTCCATGGAAGTAAAAGTGACAGTACCAGTATCGCTCTCGTGTGGTCAACGCACAGACACACATGGCATTTAGAGGACACCATCAGAGGAATCGCATAGGCATCGGCGTCTACAGACCGACAATTATTACTGCTATCATACACAAGAGTTGCGGCGCTTGCGGCACGGCATGTACGCCGAACTGTGGACCGGCGGCAAGTGTCCGCCACGGACTCGCCGCTAATCACGCTGTAGTACCCACATAAGGGCCCTGCTCAAACGAGGCCACCTCTGCCATCCCTACTCTGTTATTCTACGGCCACGAGAGCGACTGGATCCTTCTGTGGGACGCATCTTTAACCTAGATATTGACTCGCAGCGTCTCCAGCTTCGTCGATCATGCCCCCTGCGAGGATCTACGCTTCTTCTGTGGGCATTCTGGCTGCAGGAGGGCGATCAGGGTCTTGCGGTATCGTGGCGCTAACGATGTCCACATTGGAGTGACCCTGCACTTGGAGCTTGTTATCAGCTGATGTAGACGTGTTCAGCTCCGTGACGAGGTCTTCACGCTCCGCGGATGGCTGTTGCAGAGATGTTCCTGTCGCGATAGCCTTCTCTGCAGCAGTAGGCGTGTTTTGAGTTGACACTCCAGGGTCTTCGCGCACAGCATCCTCCTTTCGCACTGGAACTTTCTCAGAATTGGGGCGAGCATCTGAGAGATGGTCTAGGTCTCGCGTACTTGCGATGCCGGTATAATCAAGGTTACCTGAGGTCGGTCGCAGAATTCGAGACCCAGACGACGCCTCAGGTATCTCAATTTCCGGTGCATCATGATCTGTGCACAAGGCATTCTTCCTTGGCTCGAGTTGCGATTGGTCGTATCCAGATACGACTGTTGGTTGAGGTTCCACACTACTGGTGTTTGGCTGAGCTGCAATACTCTGGCACATTGCCTCGCTAGTCACTTGCATATCCTTGTGGGGCTCCTCGTGGGGTGTGGCTGGCTCTCGTACTTGATCGGCGCCCAGTGCCGCTGTGGTTTCTGTTCTGGGAACAGCGTCATGTCTTCGCTCCAGACCGTCGTCTCCAGATGCGATGATCTCCACCCGACCTAGATCTCCGTCCGAATGATGATCATTTCCATGTGTTGTTGTTGTGGTATTCGAGACGAGGGTAGAGTCACACGCAGTCTCTGGGACATCATCCACTGCGCTGACAAGCGATGGTTGTTTCCCTTTTCGCAAGGTGCCCCGGCCCCGTCTACTTGTCGTGCCCCGAGCTTGCACTGATTCCGCGCTTGTTCCCTTAGCTCTTCGTGCAAGTCTTGCTGCACGAGCATCTTGAGGAGCATCGTCATCCTGCCTCACCTCTACTTCTGCATCGGCCTCCGGTGTATCAGCTTTCGGGTTCCCTGCAGTTGCGAGTTTCCGCAGCTGCGCCCAAGTCTTTGCTTTTTCGCTCTGCTTTGCAAGCTCTTCCTCGCTCAGCTCAACCCATTTGGCGCCAACTTTCTTCATACCGGTGAACTTCAGGAAGGTCAGACCCGATCCACTAGTGTCCATGTACTCGGAACCCTCAGGCGGCGCATTTCTCCCTCGCGCGTACGTTTCGCTCGGACGGTGATACTGCTCACTGGTCCTGTAATTCTCATGGAACTCGACTGAATCGGAAAATTTGAGCCGCTTGCGTGATATCGAAGCTGATGAGCTGTGCGATCGTTTAGGCGATGGCCTGAGAGACAGCGATATGCCTTGCTGTCCATGTGGTGCTGTATCGGATGATTCTCCAGACCGCTGGGTAGTAGGCGAGTGAGATCTTCGACGCTTGGGACCAGCTATATCTTGTTTGTCGTCGTGGAGAAAGTCCCCTCCTCCATGGTCCTTGTTCTCTGAGTGTTCGTTCTGCGCGTCTCTTGCTGGTCCAGGCGCTTCGACAGTCATCAACCAGTTGTCGAACTCCATGTGAGCCCGCTTGTGGTTATCTCGCGCGAATGATTTACTGATTGAGTCGCGCTTGTTTTCGAGTACAGCCCATTCAGTATCGGCTTCTCTAATCGCGTCATACAGAGAGTCGAATCGCTGACATGTGCTGCATCCTGCATGGGAGGCATCCGGCGAAGTCGTAGGTACAAGCCCAGTGGCGGATACCACGGCGAGGACTCTAGCACATGATTTGCACTTTACAGAGTCGTATTTGGTGGTCATCCCGGTGGTATTCAGTTGCGAAGGTGTTGAGTCGCTCGAGCAAGCGCGTTCGATTGACAAGGTGTGGACGTGAAGTTCGCGAAATCGATGAGTAATGATTGCGTGCACAGTTACATTTGACACATATATGTGGGAGCGCACTGATGGATTGTAGTCGTAGTGGGGTGCGTAAACAGAGGGTGATGAAGACAAAGACGCGACTGTGGAGATGTCACGTCTGCAACGAGCGCGCGTCGCCCTTTGACGCTTCTGCAAACAAGTGTCGTATTATGTGAGAGCGACAATCGCAAGAGACGCATTGAAAGAAAAGTAATAGGATTGAAGTCGTAAGACTTTTGTTGTTCCGAGCAACCGCATCGTTGTTGCCTCGCTATCGATAATCCCTGTCGGTAGTCCCCTTTTCGCACGTCCACAAACAGCAGTAGCGATGCTACATCTTCACTTCGCTCCACACCGCCGGCCACCATCCTTTGGGTTTTGTCGCGCACATGCATCGTCTTAACGTCCCATACTGTCCTCGAGTTGCGACAGTACGCAAACCTTAGAGCGCTGTGTTGAGGAGAAGAGGATTACATTCGACAAGCTCCGCTTTAACGGCGGCAATTACGTCATCGGAAACATTTGCAATCTCAATTCACCCAAATCTCTATAAAGCCCATCTAAAAGCTCGAGAAGTCTACATGCCGTGTCGAAGGGAGTCGTCTGTACCCAAGGTCAAGGTGTGAGAAGCGCGTTACACTATCATGCTGGCCAGAGGTGGACCGCGTGCTACTCAACAGCAACATTACGCTGAATCACAGCTTTACACGAAATATGTTTCGACAACTTGTATCACATCCCCAGCTATACGGAACAAGTGCATTCATGTTGAGTGTTTTTCCTGCGGTATCCATCGTTCCCTCCTGTATGTAGGCCCATACATTGCATTTGATGGGTTTTGCGCAAGATTGGTCGATGACAACGACACAGTTGATGACATTCGATTACCGGGCTTACTGATTTACGTACTTCTCCATGTCGTACGTTCTACAATATTGGCTTCGGCCGAAGCTTCTGCAATACCATCTCCTCCACCGCGTCGAGTAGCTTGATCTCCATTCCATCGTAATGTTTTGCGCTGAACTCCGATGTGAGACAAGTCTGCACTGCATCCCGATAGTTGGAACCGACACAATAAGCCAGGTCGTCCCTAGCTGCTTCAATCAGTAGTTTCGGTACCTCTCCTTTGTTCATTGTTTTTCTATGCTTCCCAAGCACGGATTGACACGATTTCCAGAGTCCAATATCCAATAGGACGACACCCAAAGAGTACAAATCGTGTTCTCTCTTGGGACTATCTTTCGGATCCCTATGCCAATCGGGATGCTGATATATGTCAAATTCGATGTTCTCGAACCAGCGTTCGATCGTAGATGGCGCCATTGGTTGCGCAAAGCCGAAACCTTGCAGCAAAGGTCTGTCGAAATCCCATCTATCACTCGAACTTCCTGAGGAGGGTTTCAAGAAGATGATGTTGTGAGACGATATGGACTGGTGTACCCAGTCGACTCCATGCCAATTTCGGACCGCTGATGCGATGTGGAAGGCCATAGCTAGCCGTTCTTCGAGTGTGGGTCGTGACTGTCCCTTCAGTTCGGTAATCGCTTCGTACAGGGTTTTGGACTCATTACCGTAATCGATGGGAACTTGAAAGTAAAACACGAAGCGGCGATGATGTGGTTCGTGCTTCCAACCGTGTAGCTGGAGACAGTGGAACGACTCATGCTTCTGGGATTCCAGGACATCTGCGAGGCACGCCACACGTCTTTTCAGTCTCTCGATAACAGAAGGGTCCTCGTATTCAGAGTATTGCTTGTACTGCTCCAGCAGTCGATCTGAAGATATGGTGGGCTTGGTCGGTGTACCCAATTCTTTGGATTCTGGTATAGAACTGTGATAAATGGCTTGACGCGGAATCAACTGGCTTGCCTCTCCGTACGATTCAGATGCAGGTATTCTGCAGAGGTAGAGGTACGAAGTCAGTATATGTTTCACATGCACTTCGTACAGTCAAAATTTACCTGAGAGCTTCACTGGTTATGCCAAGACCCGGAGGTGCATTGCTCTCTTCATATCCTTGCAGTACGTTGAGGTCCTCCAATATGATACTGCGATTCGAGGGACCGACGCGAAGGACCACGTGGGATGGAGTGTTGTACGAGCTAGCTTTCTGATCAAGTAGTTCACTGTGGAGCTCAGATATCTCGACACGGTTGTATCCCCGGATGAAATCCTCCATGATTTCGACGATAGCAAACGTGAAGGATCCAGGTCCCCGTTGGAGCGTTTGATTTTCGTTGCATGTAGCTGCAAGTAGCTCCATACGAGCATCCGAATCGCCGACTGTCTGCTCTCTTGCACTCTCCACTTGTGCGAGATGGTAGCTGTCAAAGAGAAGAAGAACGTCGAACATAACGTGGTCGAGTGCTCTTTGTATCTTATACCACCGCACGGATGCTGAACTACCAGGGAAGCTGCGCAATGTTAGTATCAATTAGACTTTAGAGGTCAGAAACTCACGGTCGCCAGACTAATCGAGAGGTTTGGGATGTGCCAGTCCCAGTAACATCTTTTTTGTCATCTTCGCCTCCATGGCCGACGTAATAGATAATCAGGATGGATGGGTCTTGAAAAGTTCGTGTCCGCTGTGCGAATTCCTGTACTTGCTTTAACACGTAGTTTTCCAGTTTGAGTTCGCTTTGTTGAGCAGGGATTGTGTAAGTCTCCGTCTCGAAAAGTAAGCCCTGAAAAAAGCTTTTCAGTCTGTCGGTTTCTCTGGTGTACTCTTCCGATTTATCCCATCTCTCCCAGTAGATGATGAGGGCTTTAGCAACAGAATATCTCTCACGAAGCGTAGGTTTCTTGATACTTTGAGCAAGATTCGCAAAGTTGCTGTCGTCTTCGGCCAATCTGGACGTGTCTATTGGGTCGACTGACGGTCTCGAGGTGTCTGCTTGCGAAAATCCAAACACATGGTTGTCTGGCAGAGGGGTTGAGAGCCTGGAGTCTTCCGCTTGTTAGTAAATTTGGCGTTATGAATCATATTGGTTGAGTGAATCGCACCTTCATGCTTTCTCTCACGCAGTGTCCTTTGAGCCTCGTAATTGACGATATCTCGCGGAGTTGCAACTCTCGCTACGGTCGCACCAAGTACCCGCATTATGTCGTCCAACATTCTTTCAGCTGGGAGCATGTGGAGGTATGAGCTTGAAGCATTGCCTGCGTATACGACGCCCAGAAGTTTTCCTTCTCGGACCACCCAAGAGCCCGATAAGCCAAGACCTATTTCGAGCATTAGACATCTCTTAGCACACTAGATATACAAACTTACCTGGAGTTATGGTGACTTGTATCATCTTTGTAGACACAACAACACCTTTCACAATAATAGAAGCATCCCCCTCCACCATATAACCCTCGTCCAGGTACTTGTTGCGACTTGTAATGATCCACACAGGTCCAGCACATAGATCGCATGTTCTTTCGATACTGGTGACCGTCTCGGTTGTCTTGCGATTTGTGTCGTAGTATGTGTTTGATAAAATGATGAATGATGTGGGATCTACCAAGGCAAAGTCTGAAGCGCCAACAATCGGCTTGTCAACGCTGATCCCGCGGAGGTACGTATTGTCCAGATACGCGAAGGTCGTTGGAAAGGACAACTCCGTCCAAGTGCTCGAATATGATGCTGTAGGAAAAGGAGCATCTGATATTTGCTCCATGCCTCCAATGAGAGTAAGCTGAGGTGACTCGAGAACATGAGGCATGAAAGCGTGGGCAGTCGTCATCGCGAAGAGATTGTCGTCCACATATATCAATCCGCCAATAGTGGAGTAGCACTCAATAGTACCATCCGACGTTGCCATTATAAACCTAGCTCTAGCACCGCACACGGTGCTCAAGAGGGGGGAGTCATTCTGGATCGCCAACGACGGTGCGCGACTTGCTAGACGTGGTGAACTTTTCATTGCAAGAGGATGTGGACCGTTAGCGGAGATATAAGGCATTCCCGACAGCTGCTGTCGTTTCACAAATTCCTCAAGCCAGGTGACACAGGATAGCGATCGCAAGACTGGCTTGATCCACGTCGTGTTATGGCATTCGATCCAAATCGTGGGTTCCAGCAGGATCTTGTATTGCGGAGATCGACGTTTGTCGTAGAGACGTTGTATGACGGTAAGCTTGACAGCCATACACAGATAAGAAGCTATCATGGAATTTCTTCGGCCCTCTTTTTGACCCGATGACGGTAGCGTCTTTGTAAGCTCTGCAAGGATAGTGTCAAGTTGTCCGTGAATCGTGTTGAACTTTGTCTGCACTTGAAGTGGAGGCGGAGCATCTCTCAAGGTGCCTACACGGTAATCACCAATTCTTCTGGTATGACACAACTCGACTGGCCTTGAGTGCGCTCGCTTTTGAAGGGGCGACAGGGCTCCGTTCATTCTTCTTCGCTTAGTGTGTTCCAAAATGACCTGCTATGTGAAAAGACCATATTGAATGGGTCTTATTGCTAGTAGCCCTTGTATACGATCAGTAGCTGGAGTGGAGAAGTAAGGCGTTCCCTCAAAAGGCCACTAGGTCGTGACTTGTCAGCCTTGCGACTAAGTAGAACACTCAAATATCTGAATCTAAACTTACAAAGTGACGCGCATGACATATGGCTTCAGTCAAAACACTAAGTCATGGATGCTTGCCATCGTAGAAAGTGGGAGCAGTGTCTTGAGCATGCAAAAGATGAGGGGCATCAGCTGGAGGTGTGCGTGGCTTGACCGGATAAACTCGAGCTACGTCGCAGCTGAAATACATGCGCGCTGACGTCCTGAGGCTGGGACTGGAAAAGCAGGTTATTGCGTTTTGAAGCGCATACCCCGCGTCCAACTGAAGGGCAACGCCTGTACACAAGGATGCACTCAGTTTTCCTTACCGCATAAGAAAGCGTCGTGATTACTTCGAAAACCTAGAATGAACCGCTACCATGTTGCTCGATAGTAAAGATCTGTTCTCTGAGTCCTATTCGCAAGACATTCTTGGCTTCACACCAGAGGAGAAATGTGCTTTAATCAACTCTTTCTGGCCTCACCTGAACCTTTCAGAAGATACTTACAGCGAAGAGAAATATGCAAGCTTGCTAGACTTTTGGGGTCTTACACTGCAGAGCCTGCATCCCCCTAACTCCAAATTTGCGACAGAAAAGTGGGGAGGCATTCTTGCTATAGTGAGTGAGCTAAGGTCCGATCGGAATAGCACGAGAGAAGTGTTGGTCGCTACGATTGAGAGTCTGTACCTTAAGAACTTCGAAAATGAGCCTATCTCGGGCTCCATTGAGCTTGCAGTCCAGCTTTGGCTGGGGATACATCTTCACTCCAAAGAATCGCCCAATCTGGTCAAGAACCCGATGGATACATGTGTCCCTTGGGCGGATGATCAATCTCTGGAGAATGCGATCGCTACACAGTTCTCTCAGCATGCGAAAGCAGCACAGTCCGTACAGAATTGTCCGCTGGACACGTCATTCACCGCCATGGGCCTGAAGAATACGCACCGATTGAATCTACTCTGGACCGATAGCTTGGTGGATCATTTGAAGCTTGAAGGGTCCCCTGGAGACCGACGATTGTTCATCTACAGACATAAGACTTGTCTTGTGAACCACCGGAGCGGATCAACACCACCGATGATATCAGCGGACATCCTGAACGAAGCCATTCGAACTCTCGACCTCTTGTTTCCGGTTGGCCACAAGCAGACAATAGCATTCCTGAAAGAATCTGGGGTGCAAATGTGGATTGAGAACCCATTACAGTCCCCGCGAGCAACTGAATTGAACGAATTCGTGTACTGGAGAAGCCGTCTCGCACACTTGCTGAACCTGTTGAACAGTCGTCCGGAGACTGTACTTCAAGCACTGAAGGATACAAGAAATCCTGTAGAGTTCGTAACATTGTGGGGGGCTGTGTTCGGAGTCTTCCTTCTAACGATCCTGTTTGGCGTCCTCTCGACAGTTTACTCGGTCAAGCAGTATAATGTCGCCGTCGATTCATACCAGCTTGCCCTGGCGCAGGCCTGCTGCCAACAAACATCCCCATTGTTACCGATCTGCGCCCAGTCGACCGCAAAGCTGTGCTGAGATGGTCCATACCATGAGTGTAAAGGGGCACCGCGGTATCCAACTTACGAGACAACGCGGCATTCCCAGATCGAGGCTTTCTGGGGTGAAAATTTCATGGAGAGGGGGAGAGGGCAGGGCTCTGGTTTCTATATTTGCGACATCTCACTGAGAGGACCCGCTGGTATGGCGCTGGCATGTGTCTCGGAAGTTGCCAGTGGCGCGTTGCAGGTTGCTTGTTGGATGCTTCCTTCATTATTGGGCTTTTTAAACGGCATTTGGTGATGCATCTTTACTAGCACTACAAACACGCAGCGAGCCGGATCTTGGACAAGTCGGACAAGCAGGACTTCGTGGACAGTACACACCGGGATGGCTGGTGGAGAAGTGCTGAGGATTGGTTGCCGATGCTATGATATCTCTTTTTTATAGCTATACTAATGTCCATTGATATTGACTTTACCACATACCTCGCTCGCCTAACCATCGCAATTATGCTTGCAGGAAAAATATGCAATGCTACAATCCCATTCAATCTCTCTTCTCACAAAAGGACATAAACGCCAATTGCTCCGATGTCATGCTTCCTCCCACACTAGCTACCATCATGTCCAAAACCCATCCTACGAATCCCTGCGTCTCCTCGACGGCGGACTACTACCATCCCTCTTGACCCTCGGTGCCGGACTCCCACTATCGTCTCTCTTCATCCTCGGCGGCGGGCTTTCACTGACTTCCCTCGCCTTGCCATTAGCCTTCGACGGTGGCGGCGGGGAACTAGTATCCCTCCTGCGAGTGCGACGCGGCGGCGGACTACCACTATCCGCCCTCGCCTTCCCTTTCCCCTTCGATGGCGGGGCACTGCTCGAACCGCGTCTACGCCTGGGCGGCGGAGTGCTAGAGTCACGACCACGACGGCGCGGTGGTGGGGATGGTGAACGCGAGGGGGAAGACGTGTACTTCCGGCGGCGTGTCGGAGGTGGAGAACGGGATAGCGAGCCGGAGGGGCTGCGGCCGCGGCGTGTTGACTTGGATTTCGGAGGTGGAGAACGGGATCGAGAGGATGAGGGGCTGCGGCCGCGTCTCCTGGGCGCGGGGGAGCGTGATCGAGAGAGGGAGGTTGAGTAGGAGCGCTTGCTCTTGAGTTTGCGGGGTGCTGGGGAGCGGGATCGCGAACGGGATGCGGAGCTGTAGGAGTCGCTTCTACCGCGGCCTCCACGTTTGCGGGCTGGCGTAGGGCTGCGTGTGTATGAGCGTCCTCTAGAGTCGGATCTGGACCTCGATCTTGAGTCGCGCCTTCTGCGAACCGGGCTTCGGGAGCGTGAGTAGCTGCTCGAACTGTAGCTTGATCTTGACGAAACGCTGCGGTCGTCGTCGGAGTCGCTCTCTGGCTCGGGTAGCGGTTTCGGCTTGGGGGCAGCGTTCTTGAGCCAGTCGCGCATGCCTTCAGTAAGCACACCCATACCGATCGCAGTGAAGTAGTTGATCGAGAAGCGGGTCTTGCTCTGGTCGTCGGCATCGGTGGGGAAGAGTCCAGTAAGGCTGTCTTGTAGCATGGGGTCCTTGAAGCGCTCCACAACGACCTTCTGCCCGAGAGAAGCCAACAGCTCTTCGAACAAGATCTTGACAAAGATGCGCGAACTAGAGGTGGTATCTTCTTCCGTCATCTTGACCACCTGAAAGACGTGCCAGCCGATACCGTCGGATGCTAGCAGATGCGCGAAGAACTGTGCGATGATACGAAGGCGGTTCGTTTCGAATCGGTGGATAGTCTCGTAGTAGTGCGCGAATGCTTCCTCGAAAAGGTCGGTCCACATCCTGTTCAGCTTGCAGAAGCGCTCTCCAATCATGCCGTAGAACTTCTCGTATGTGCGCTCCTGGCTGGCGCACTCGACGATCATCGTAGTGAGCTCGTTTTCCAAGCCATGTGGCAGGTTGATGCGCATGAGTTTGTGCACGCACTCCTCAAAGCCACCGCTGCTCTTGATGGTCAAGTAGATTGTTCTTCGCAGGTTAACGAGATCCGCGTTGGTTTGATCCTTGACGTCCATGGCCTTCACTTCCTCGTCCTCTTCATCCTCAGATGACGCATCCGTGTATCCATCATCGTCGCTACCCTCCTCTTCGCCTAGAATCTCTGCCTTGATCTTCGCGTACTCTTCCTCGTGCGCTTCATAATCGGGATCGACCTTGAAGAGGTTGAGACCGTCCTCAACCTTCAAATCACCCTCCAGTGTGTGGTTGTGGGTGATCTGATCCTCCTCCTCTACCAGGTCCAAGTCCTCCCTGATAACCGGGTTGTCCTTGTACTTTGTGCGTCGGACCTCGAAAAGAACCTCTATCATGTATTGTGTGCGCTTGTCGATGTCGGCTTCGTGGAGGATGTTGCGCATCTGGTCGAAGATGGCATTCGCGATCGCAGGCTTCATCTCGTCGAGGAAAGCGCCGACCTCTTTCATGATACCGACGGCGATCTCAACGGAGTCGTCGGAGGGCTTGTTCAGCAAGAGGAGCAGGATCTCGGCGATCAAGATCTCGTGGACGACTTGCGTGTTGACGAGGTGAGAAAGAAACATGGTACTCGATAGCGCCACGGCCTTGTCGTTCCTCCTGAAACCCTTCCTGAACTGCACAATCAGGCGCCGAACCAGCAGATCGCCAACTTGAGGCAGCTTCGTATTGACAATAGAGACCATAGCCGCATAAATAGGCGTGAAAGGCAAACTCGCCGCTTGCGCCTTCATAATAGCCCTGCAGAACAGCCCACGTCCGCGCACCAGGTTCTCCGAGAACAGCTCCGGCACAATCATCTTGATATTCGCCGTATTCGTCTTGTTGATCAAACCCTGGATCGACTTCTTCAGCGCCTCCCACGCCATGCGCTGGAACTCAGGGCTGCTCTTATCCGTAATCGACTTCTGCATCTCGCGCAGGCGCGCAGGCGGGATATACGCGCCTCCAGCACGTGTCTTGGAGTCGTCAACGGGCAGCTTACGGTTCGCGCTGAAGGCATTCTGGAAAAGCTTCAACCGCGAGTCGTCATCGGGGAGGTCGTGAGTCGTAGGCTTTGGCGGGGGGCGACGGCCAATGCCGCCATTGCGACGGTCGTCCTCCTCTTCATCCCTCCTGCTTCGCTTTGATGGCCCAGCACTCGGTCCATCGTATGGGGAGCGCTCGCGTTTGCGCGGAACATCTTTGGCGTCGAGCTCGGGCTCCGGTGAGGGCAGACGGACGGCAGATGCGACCTCCATCGTCGCGCAGTGGGTCGTGTTGGAGGTGGAGGATGGCGAGTGTTGAGGCGGAGAGTGACGCGCTTCGCAAAAGTTTAGCTTACAGGCGGTTGGGCGATCGAAGGTTGCGGCGAACGGGCCGCGGTTTCGCCGACAGGGGTCTTGGCTTGGCGCGACTTTGGGGGGAAGGGCCAGCGAGGTGATTGTAACCACCATTACTCCAAGCTAATACACTCGTTCACTCTTTCGCCAATCTTCACAATGGTATGCTTCAACATGCGTAGAATGGAATGCTGTGTACTGACCAACCATCACAGGCCGACCGCCTCGTAGGCCTCAGCATGCTCGTCGCAGCGACTGCCATCTTCGTCTACTACACCGTCTGGACTCTGTTCATGGTATGCTTTTGTGTGATCACTTCGTTCTGGTACATATACTGACTCTATATAGCCCTTTGTAGACGACGACCACATCCTCCACTCCCTCTTCCTCCCACGCGTCTGGGCCATCCGCATCCCCGTCATCCTCCTCATCCTGGGCACTACGGTCGTCGGCAGCTTCCTCTCAGTGGTCATGATCAGGAGCAATCGGAAGAAGGCACTCAAGGCTAAGCAGAAGAAGGCCTCATAAACGCTTACGACATTGGGTGCGAGTAATAATCTTCGACAAAAGGGGTCAGCTTGGAGCGGCGCAAGAACATTTAGTTGCGTCAATATAATTGGATTGGTAGCGGGAGAGCCTAGAGGCATAATGAAGTCGTTCAGATGTTCAGTCTCGCCTACATGACATTGCAGTTCTCCTCTGTGATGACAACCGGTCTACCACCCTCTCCTTCCTCATCACCTCCACTCCCAGTGCCCTGCCCACGGGCAATATGCCGAGCCAATTGCGCGAAGACAGCCTGACTGATGAAGTAATCGTCTCTTCCGCCTTTCCGGTCCATATCGTTCTGACTTGTAATCTGATAAGCTTGGTGCATCCTTCGTCGACTACTGAGTCCACCAGGGGCAACCTCATCGTCACTATCGCTAGGGGCATCGACGGCAGGCTCACTTTCAGCCTCGGGTTCGGCAGCGCGGTTGCGACGCCGACGACCGAAGTTCAGACTGGAGAAAGCAGCCGGATCGGACGAATGCACTCCGACACCTTTCCGTGCGTTACGTTGGAGCTGCGCATCTGGAGAGAAGATTTTGATCGTGTGGTCGATACCGGAAACCGCCATCGTAGGTTCATAGGGGTGACCTAAACATGTTAGAGCCTGTATCATCTTGGTTTTGTACTCATTTCTCCTTGCCTTGGATGACGTTGACCACCTCTCCATCTCCCTCCAGGATGTTTACAAGTTCCGCTGTCTTGCGATCCCAGATGAACACGTGGCCAGAGTCGCTTCCACTGACCACATACTCATCCTGCAGTCCGAAGTAGTTGACGTCTTTGACTGTCCTGGCGTTGCAATGCCCAGTATAGACACGTGTATGAGGTACACAAGGTATATCGCGCTCCACCTTCCATCGCCCGTAACGACTGCGGCCAAAATCTGATCGCCATAACATGTTTCCAGATCTTGTGCGTGATAAGCCTTCTTCATCTTCGTCGTCAGTGTCGTCCTCGTCTTCTCCATCATCCGATTCTATATCACCATCACTGTCTTCATCGTCATCATTGTCGTCCTCTTCTTCTTCATCCCCGTCTTCGTCCTCTTCATCGGCGCTCTCGATGGCCATAGAACCCGACTCGTTCGCGTTGGCAGAGCTGGAGGTAACCTCTTCCTGATCATTACCCTCTCGTGTTGGTGTGCCGATAAGTTCTGCATCGCGGACCGGACCCTCGTCTACCGAGGGATCGATGTCCTCCTGTTTTTCTCTCAACGCCTTTTCTTCCGCTCTAATCGTCTTGTCGGATATACCCTGGCCGCCGTAAGCGCGGTCTACGAAAGCGAATTTGATATCTTTGGCGGCATTGCGTAGAACACCCCTCCCAACATAGTACACCCATCTTCGTTTTGCCGTAGCTCGGGTTTGTGTGGGCTCGCCAGAAGATACTGACTCTGATGTGGACTCGTTCTCGCCGGTGAGATCAGCAAAGGGTATCGTGATTGCATGGCCGAACGCATCAACAGCCTCAAACTCAGAGTCGTACAAGACTCGAGTGCTATCGGTCTCATATTTGGAGGCATCGACATTGATGATTTTGGTGTCGTCTGCTAATTCGATTAGATATGGGATCAGTCGTTCCTGAATGGAATCCATATCCGAACCATGGGGGATGGGATAGCGAGTACTGCCACTCCGGCTCGAAAATCCTTCAACAACTGCTCCAGGGCCACTGTCGATCCACAACAGTATAGCTTTCAAAAAGTCGTATCCAAACTGCTCGTGTTGTGGTGGATCGCGCTCTCGGGGCGCCGGTTGTATTGAGGCGAAATACTGGGCGATCAAGGCGTCAGAGCTAGATCCAGTCAAGAGCTGTCCTCCCAGTACCCGTGCCAACGTCCCGGCTGCTTGAACGAACCGACGAGACGCTGCCCTACTATCGCGAAGCTTGTTTTGTACTGCAACGTCCACAGGATCTGGATCGATGGGGTAGCCCCACGTCCTATCGATGTCGTCCATGTCGGGCAAGATCGAGTTCGCTAGACCTACAATGGACGTGCATGCAAGGTGGATTCCAGACTCTCCAAGCTCACCTAGCTCGAAAATTCGCTTCGCTATTTTGACGGTTGTACTTGCGATGCGGTAGTGGTCTGATGCTCGTAGATCGTTCAATTCCTCCTGGGTCATGCGGTTCTCGGCAGGAGGATGAATGCGGATATCTTCGCTTTGACCATTGCCGTACGTCACTCGCAGTGCCAGATCCTCATCGGCACTTTCGGTGCGTTGTCTTGATTCGGCTCTCTCAACACCTTCTTGAGACAAGGTACTAGACTTCGGTCGCTTGCGCTTCCTGTTCGTGTCCTTGACACGATGGCCAGATGCACTATTCGAGGTCTTGATGGGCGTCACGTTCTCTCTAGCATCTGGCGCCCGTAGAATATCGAAGCTGTAGATGTGATCCTGAGACCAGCTCACAACGAGCTCGTTCGGCTCGGCATCACTGATTTTGCATGCTGTGATGTGACCGCCATCATTTCTCTTCATGCGCTGCTTTCCGTTGGGCGCAAACTTCTTCACACATTGCGTCGCCTTCCCTAATAGCTCATCGTCATTATCGTTCCAATTCTCTGGACTCGAAAGCCTAGATCCACGCTCGTTGTTCAAATCGCGACCAAGCATCCGGCGGTCATGCAAGAAGCAATGGAGATGTGCCCCACCCAACGCGATGTAATGCGGCTGACTAGGCGAGCACGACACTGTATTGAGATCCAGTCCATATCGAGCATATGAGATGAGTGGCGGCGGGATGCTGTCTGAGGCATCTTCGTCTCTCGCCCATGCGGGCAGCATGGTGTCTCGTGGGGGCGGATATGCCTTGGAGGGTTGGCGTACATCCCATTGTCGTACCTCGCCATCATTCGAGCACGTAAGGAAATAGAAGGGGTTGTCTTCAGTGACAATCCGCTTCACCGTGTCGGCGTGGCAACGGAATGCCTTCGCGTTGGTATCTCCCTCTGTGAGCGTCAGTCTCCGGCGCGCTCTGCCTGTACTGCCCGCATTGCCTGTAGACCGGAGGGCCGAGTGGCCTGAATGTTCGATGTCGAATATCCGTACATCGTCTGTCGCGCTGACAATTGTGCGATCGTTGGAGTAGGGCATGAACTTCACGGAGAATATGTTGGAACTATGCCCTGTCTGGATTGAGGTGGTGAGATTGAACTGCGACGTCGACGATTCGGGGTGGTACGAGTGGATGTTGATGCGATGGTCGTCGGAGCCAGAGGCGAGGAGGCGGCCAGAGGTTGACCAGCTGGTAGATTCAGATTATGCCACAGATGTACAAGGAGAATAGTGACATACCTGAGAGCATTGACACATCCGTTATGGCCTTCTAGTTCGTTCACGATATCGAGGTCGTCCACCCATTTGCGGTCGCCGTATATCGATCGAATGTCGGAGTATTTCCTAGGCTGTTGTCCGACTTCGCGCTTAAGTAAGCGATCGTATACAGTGTACTTCATCGTGACACGTTGTGTAGTTTGCTAGAGGCTGGATGGATATTGAGCGTAGCTCGAGGAAGTCGCGAGAGGCAAGAGGTACCGGAGGCGTTGCTTCCAAAAACAGCTGAGCGAGTGCGATGTGAGGCTGTGCAGATAAGTCAATCAGGTGGCACAATACGCAAGTGAAATCGCTTCTGTACTGGCATCGCGACAAAGGGGTTGTGGCGTTGGTGTAAGTTGCGCGTTCGCGTGTATTCAATGGCCGCGAGGGAATGACGAAAGGTGACTCCACCCACGTTTTGGAGCTCCAAGCTTCACCCCCGCGGCCTCCCGCAGCCGATCCCCAACACCCGTCTCCCCCCATGCATCATTAAAAAGCTGGAGCCAGCCCTCGACAATATCAACAGTCACGACATTACCGCGAATATTGCGCTATTCATTCATCACGACAAAAGACCTTGGGCTTGACGCGCATGCTGTCATTGTCTCTACGACGTGTGTGGATTTCTAGCATCTTCTAGGCTTGCATCGTTGTGAATGTTGGCGGGCATAATTGATATTGCCGAAGTATGAACAGGAAGAATAATCGCGCGTACTCGCATGGCATACAACTACACCTAGTGGTATCTAAACAAACGTACGAAGTGACATGAGAAACGTAAACATCCAACTACTAAACAACACTCTTCAATCATCCAGCCTAGAGAAGTAGAACAGCACCGACAACACCAACGAACATCATGAATCCAGCTCCAACACGGCTAGCAGCGCCCTCGAACTCCGCAGGCGGCATGTACTGGGAAGGCATGGTAGGCTTACCAGTACCAGTAGGCATAGGCACGTACATGCTGGTACCGTTCATGGCAGGGCCGGCGGGAACGTAAGGAGCACCTCCAGCAGTTGGGTAAGGAGCGGGAGTATAGGTGGACATTGCGACCTTGGTAAGGGTCATGTACATGGTGCTGGTGGCCTCCTGCTCGACTGGCTTCTTGGGGTACTCGGGCATGGCAGGGTACTCTGCGGCCTTGGAGGCCTCGGGCATAGAAGGGTACTCAGCGCCCTTGGAAGCTTCAGGAACGGATGGGTACTCCGCAGCCTTGGAAGCCTCAGGAACGACAGGGTATGCGGGCATCGATGCTTCAGGAACAGCGGGGTACTCGGCAGCCTTGGAAGCCTCAGGCGCAACAGGGTATGCGGGCATAGACGCCTCAGGGACGGCAGGGTATGCAGGCTTGCCTGAGGACACGGGCTTAGCCGGGTAGTCTGCAGGGTATGCGACGGAAGGAGCAGAGGATGGGTATGCGGGCACGTGGGTGGCGGTAGCGATGGGCTTGGTGATGGTCACGGTGACAGTGCTGGCAGTGTAGACGCTGGTGGTCCAGCCCTCAGGTACGTCGGTTGAGCCGGTGGGCTTTGCGCACTTGGTGCAGACGGTCGCAACGTAGGTGGTGGTAACGGTGGTCAAGCCAGTAGGGCAAACATCGACGTAGGTAGCTAGGAAATGTTAGTGATGATCTTTGTATTATTGGGTCTGTTGCTGACTTACTTGTGACGACTGAGGTGGTGGATCCGGCGGGAACCTTGGAAGACTCAGGGTACTCAGGCTTCTTGGTCACCGATGGGACGCTCACGTGGCCAGTGCTGGATGCAATAGAGCCCTTGGAGCTCTCAGCAGGGTATGTAGCAGAGACAGTGTCGGTGGGGTACATCGGCGATGCGGTGGAGGATACACCGGATGAGTAGACAACAGACGAGTGGGCTCCGGATGGGTAAACGGCAGAGAATGACATGCTGTACTCCATGGAAGGTACGTATGGGGTAGAAGACGCAGCCTCGGGGGTGGACGCGGAGACAGTGTCGGTGGGGTACATGTCGCTGGAGCTTGAAGCACCGGGGGTAGTCGCAGAGACTGAACCAGTAGGGTACATGTCGCTAGAGCTTGAGGCCGACGAGGACACTTCGCTAGAAGCAGAGGTCTCGCTCGGGGAAGGAACGTAGACGGAGCTGCTGGCGGTCTCGGAAGCAGAGAACGTGGCGATAGATGACGGCTCAATAAGGGTGCTAGAGACGGTCTCGATGGAGCTGGAGGTCACGTATACCGAGCTGGCGCTGACAGTAGCAGTGATCTCCGGAACGGAAGAGGACTCAATCATGCTGCTGCTGACAGACTCAACGGAGCTGGCAGTGATAGTCTCAGTTGGGAGAGGAACGTAGACCGACTCGCTGCTGGAGGCAGATGCTGAGATGGTAGCGATGGACGAGGGCTCGATCATGGTGCTGCTGACGGTAGCAACGGAGCTGGCGCTCTCACTAGCAGTGGGCATCTCGCTGTAGACTGAGCTACTCTCGTCGTGAACAGAAGAGGAGCTGGAGGCTACGGAAGACGATTCTGCGACGGATGAACTGGAAGAAACGTGGACGGAGCTGCTGCTGGAAGCTGAGCTCGAGGTGATGTAGGCAGACGAAGATGAAACACTGCTGCTGGTGATCATGGTGCTGGGAGTAGGAGTGCTAGAAGAGACCATGCTGCTGGAGACAGGAGTGCTGGAAGTCATGGCGCTGCTGGAGATGGGAGTGGAAGACGAGACCATCGTAGACGAGACAGGGGTGCTGGAGGATGATAGCTTGGTCGAAGTCGGGGTAACGGTGGAAGAGGACAGAGTGCTGGAAGACACGACGGGGTGGAAATCCTTCATGAAGGTACCCTCAAGAGACTTCTTCATCCAAGTACCGTACGACTGGCCATATGTAGGGTTCCTGACGGACACAGTCGCCTCCCAGAGCATAACACCACCAAAGCTGGGGTCGTTCTTGTAGAATCGAAGCAAGAAGTCTGCGTCAAGGGGCTCGAGGTAGTGGTCCTTATGGTTCTCGACGCCGTCAGGACCGGCAGGCAATCCAATGTAGAACTTGGCGTTGGGGTTCGCGGAGGCCTTGATCTCGTCGATCCACTTTTGGAAGGTGAAAGTGCTGGGCTGCTTCTTCTTCTTGTCATCGACCTCCTTGGCAGCAGAGCATTCCCAGGTATTGTAGAATTGGGTGAAGATCATGTCGAATGACAACTTCTTCATGATAGGGGAGATCCTAGCATCGGGGACAACACACTGGGGAGCAGCGGAGAGAAGCATGTTCGAATGCGTCTTGACGTAGTTGCCGAAGTGTTCGTAGTTGGCGTAGATAAACTTCTCATCACCTCCGGGCATGTTGTAGAATTGCGCTTCGAGATCGAAGTCGAAGCCGTCTACGAACGCGTTGCCGAACGGACGCGGCATATCGGCAGCCTTCCACTCAGGGGTGACCTTGCCGTAGGCGCCGAGCAGGAACTCAGCAGTCCATTCTGCGACGTCTTTGTCCTTGAGGTAGTAGTCCGTAGGCCAGCCACCTCCGAGGGAGAGCATAACCTTCTTGCCCCTCCTGTGGCAAGCATTGATGCCTTCCTCTATGCCAGGGCAGGAACTGAACAGAGTGCTGTTCTCTTTCAGGACCGGATCGTAATATACAGCATCACCACACGCGTTGGCATGGTTACTTCCGGGGTATGCGCCGACCACGGTAGGGAACTTGATGATGACTTTTTGTTCCAGAACCGTTAGCCCTGCTTCCTAGTCGATAGATGAAAGATAGAATAACTTACAGCCGATGTTGACAATATCAACGTTCGGGTCAGTGCAAACATCGATCAGTGGGATCTGATCGTATCCCTGTCCCCAGTACATAGCAATGTTCGTCTTAGCGGCAGCATTGTAAGTCGCAGCGGCACCAGAGACAAGGAGTCCAGCCGCCAAAGCAGCGCGAGTGAAGGTCGAGGGAAACATGATTATGGTATTAGCGATATAAACAACGATATGCGATTTGAAGGATAGGACGGCCGGGGCCAGTAAAGATCGTGATGAGCGGGCTCAACGAAAGGACGCAAGCAAAAATGCTGCAATTAGGATGTAGACTCGAAAGAGTGACTTGACGACGAACTGGAAAGCAGTGCGACTGACAATGAGAAAAGAAGACATGGGAGATTGCACTATATCTAGTCTTGGCCCACAGGGCTGTACCTGCATGAGCGAGAAGGGTCGGACGCTGACTGCGCCGTTTGGTGGCATGAGGCCATCGTGCAGATTCAGACGGCAGACATCGTGTGCCTGCAGGAACAGAACGATGGCTTCCATAGTTCCGTGCCATTGGTAGAGGTGCCTGGATCCTAACTACTTCGGGTCTGAAGTGTCGTCGGGCGTCCAGCAGTACCTGCGTCTAGGCGAGCGCTAACCATCAACATGGCTTTTGGAAACGCTTCCATGTGATGCCTCACCCTAGCTTCAAGACCGGTGAATGGGCCGTGTCTAAGTATCGATAGCATCAATCTCGGTTAAACCGTCGAGAGTGCTCCTTCGACCGTCAGCAAAAGGAAGGAGAGTTGCTGATGCATAATGGAACGGCTCAGGACGGCATTCGGTCCAGCTTCCCGGTGGCGTCTTTGTTGCATGCCTATAGTATGGACAGACACATAAAGCCAACAACCTCTGCTCGGGTTGGTATTGCGTCTTGCGCTGGTTTGGCAATCCCGGGTGAATTGGAAGAAGAAGATCCTGGTGCCAAAGCGACCTCCTGAATCTGCAGTCGGTACCCGTGGACAGTGTAAACACCGGGTCTCTCGGTGGCTGCCTGCAGGAATCTTCTCATGGCTGCATGGTTGCAGTGGTTTCATCCCAATGGGGGTGCCGGTCCGAACAAATTGGTGAGTTGGTGTTGGGATGGCGTCGGCTACGGCTCAAGCGATGCTTAAGTCAGGGGCACCGAGCGTTAACCATTCCCCTTCGAGACAGACCCTTTCAGCCCTGTCAGAACCGCATCCTTCAAATAAGGGTGTCGTTCTTCAGCCGTCTTGGCTTGTGTGACCGTAGCGATCAATACAAAGACATGGTCTGCTCGCGCACTTACGCCTTGTTCATCTGGCAGCGCCCTTCGTATACATATCATCCGCCTGACCGTTCTTCTGCCGGATCAGTCAGCCAAGACTTACGGCGCAGTATTCTTGGTGGGGAGGTGTGTGGGTCTAGCCTGAGACTAAGTTTTCCTGCGGGAGGTTCGCGACAGTGGCTATCCATTGGCATCGCGAAAATGACACGCCCAAGGGCTAGCAAACGTGCTGACGCGGGACCAATGGTTTGACCACGGCGGGAGCTATTGAAAGCTGCATCGCAGAATCGGCCGTAAGGATAGCTTCTCGTGCTTCTGAGTCATCTGCAGTGCCGATGTCCCGTCATCGTGAGCATGTCGCAGGATTTTGGAATGTAACCTCGGTGCGCGCGCGTGCCGCAGATTGCTGGGCGAACGAGTTGGGAAGGGCGCGCATGTATATTGCGCTGGAGCCCTCTTTGAGAGCTCGCGACAAGACTCTTCACGCTCGCGCACGAAAGCCAGAAGGACATGACATATACGCAGTGGTGCGCGGTATGACGGGTCCGGGGTCTGCAACGTGAACGGGTTGCGCAGTCGGTGCGAGGTGATGTGCAGACCCACGGCGGGTGGGTGCCCAGTGCAAATCATGGGCTTGCGTTCGCCGATCCCCATCCAATACGACCGCGCGGCACTCTTCTTTGCAAGCTTAAGCAGACCTCACATCGCCTAGGAGAACGACAGTGGTGAGTGAAGTCGTACAGAATTCGTGTCTATCTATTCAGTCTAAGCATGGATTATAGAAGCCGTAAGTTTCCTAATGTTCCCTTCAAAGCATGCCCGTCCATGTCGTCTCATTTCCAGTCGGCGTTGACGTAACGCAGCTCACAAGCCTCCATTCATTACCTCACCCTCATCAAGCGACAGCAAAGCGACTCCGCTCTCGCAATGTCTTGCCGTATCTGTACAGTGCAAATATGCCAAACGAACACAACACCATGCATCCCGCCAGCAAACTCACACCACCATCGATACCAATACCCTGAAACATGGGCCTCGCGAACAGGATCGCCGCAAACGCAAACGCGCTTCTGCTAAGACTATTGGCACTAAAGATGCTGGCTGCGTATGTCGGATAGATGTTAGGGATGTACAGCAGAACGCTTTGCGCGATGAAGTAGATCCCAAAACAAGTAAGACTGAGACCGATGGTAGGCACCATCCAGTGGACTGAAGGTCTTGATGCCCATGCAAACATAAACAGCCCTACGGCGATGACGGGACTAGCTACCATGCCCGGCCATAGATGGTTTTCGAGCTCGCCGAATGTCCCGTTCATGAGGCGGGGGAAGACGCGGTACTTGAGGTACAGCACGTGTGCGGCGAAGGCGCCAAGGCAGGCTGGGAGGATACAAAGGAAGACGAGGCCCGTCGACTCGGCGTTGAAGCCGTAGTATACAGGATAGACAAGAGGTAGAGACTACGATAGATGCGTCAGTGAGTGTCTTTGTGGTCTGAGCAAAGTGCGTGCTTACCTCAAAGAATGAGTAGTAGATGCCGTAGCACAAGCCCATGTACACCGTCGTAAACAAGATGGCAGGGTCGAGGGCATTGATCTCCCAAGGCTTGACCAGCGCGTCGAAGAGCAGGCTGCTGACCTTCATGTTCTTTTGCTTTCGCTCGGAGGCCGACATAAGCTCCTGGTTTCCTGTATCCTCTCGCATGCGCTTCGCTTTGTAGTACAGGATGGTGGGTCCGGAGCTCTCCGGCAAGACCAACAATATGGCGAGGTATACTGGACCTGCGATGATGAGCAGTTCCCAGCTTGAGAAGCGCCATCCCAAGTCCTTGACGGCATACGAAGATAGTGTAGGTCCAAGCGCGGGACCGAGTGTCGCGACCGCCGCCCAGAGCGCAACCGCAAATGGAAATTCGGCCATCGTCCAGATGTCACCGAGCGATGCGCCGGCCGTGGCGAGACAGGGTGAGGCCATGACTGCGCGTCGAAGTCAGTGTGTGTCGTACGATTGATCCCAAGAGCGTCACTTACATCCCAAGAGAAAGCGCAGTACCATCAGACCAGCGAAGTTGTCCACCAGCGCAGTCGGTATGCACAAGATGATGAAGAAGAAGCCGGACACAGCATACGGAGGGTTCCTGCCAATGGCCGGTACTTCAGATAGCGGCGAGAAGAGCAGACATCCGATACCATAGCCCAGAACGTAGAGCGCAATGCCGAGCGAGGCGGCGACATGGCTGACGTCGAACTTGTCCATGACCGCTTGTTGTGAGGACGTGTATATCGAAGAGCCGACGTACACGGCAAAGGTGTAGACACATAGTAGCACAGTCACAAGTATCTTGTGAGACTGAGGCCAGTTCTGAGGGTTGCTTGGGTCGCTTGGTCCATCCCAGTCGACAAGGGTGGTCTGGTGCTGCTTAAGCTCTGTGCCAACAGCATCTCCAGCTCCAGGGACGGCTTCCTTTGGGAAAGGGAGATCGTCAGTCGACGACGAAGTAGATATTGGCTTTGCTTTTGTACGCGCATAGTCAAATTTTCGATGCTTGATGTAATGGGCTAAGGTTCCGATGAAGGAGTGCTTGAAAAGGTATGACATTTTGGCGATGCTATCGCAAGGTTGTTGTCGATTGGGAAGAGATGCTAGACAGAACGAAGAGGTAAGTAGAGATAGCAGTAGCGGCCCTGGACTGCCAGATGTGAGGAAGATAGGAAGGTTTCCGAGGAAGGCGGGCTTGTAAGATAAGTATTGAAACGTGGTGATGTTGCACAACACCGAGAGTCTGTGCTACAGGCTTATATCCTCCATCGTGGCTGCTATCTTAACTCCACGTCTCACACGCCCAGCATCTGGGTTTGTCAGACTCTCGCGCAACTTGAAGGTACAGCTCTTGGCGCGAAAAATAAACGACACGATATGGACGTTGTGTCAGCGAGTTGAGCCATGGCGATAGCGTGTTGTTCGCATATGTCCCCGATAGCTCCCAAAACGGTAACAATCTACGAGGATAAGTCTCACTATCGACCACGTACCGATACGCCATTGCAGGCTGCAGTGAGTACTAGGCCGATCTAGAGATTTCCAGCGCTGCAACTCGTCGGACACTTCTCTGACGTTAGTTCAACGAAAAGCCTCTGGTGTTAGCGGAGTCAGCGGACATAAAACGTGATCGGACGTCAGATCTGATGATTCATCGACCAATACCTGCGGCATGTGTAGAGTGTGTACATATAGGGTCGTCGCTTGGACGGACGAATGTGCGGAGAGGTCGGAGATGCGAATGCTCGAGACACCAGATTGGCGGGATAGGAAGCGAGGTAAGCATGTACCACCCGGAAGAAGTAATCACCGATCAGCCTCAAAGCCTCCGGTCGGAGTCATCTTATCAATGTAGCCATGAGAAAGCAATGCATACTCGATCATGATGAGGTTACTGATGGCAGGCTTACCAGATTGTCAGTATACAGGGTATCGATAGTCCTCCGGTGGAAACGTTCGACAATATTCGTCCGAAACCACAAACTCTCCGGAATTTGTAAGTCGATACTGTATGTGCGAAAAAGCAGGGTCGGAGCTGCTGACAAAGGAAGGCTGCATTATCAGATGTGGCTGCTCGCAGCTTCTGCTATTCGTCGAGCCAAATCTCTTGTTGATGGCGTAAGCCGTAAGCACTATGATGTCTTATCGCAAACGCATACATGCCTCGATGTCGCAAAAGAAAGTAGTCGACTTGAAAAAAGTCAGGAAAGGTCCAAGGCCAAGTCGTTCTGTGTGGCCTCCAGGGCTCGAGAGCTACCTACCTAGGGAGGTAATGTTGAGTGGGGCAAGCACGTGATGCGGGGATACTGACGTAAACGCGTCCGTCGCGTCTGGCCCCTGACGCCGTCGCTGTCACCCAGAAGTCA